GAGAGAGAGAGAGAGAGAGAGAGAGAGAGAGAGAGAGAGAGAGAGAGTCTGTGTATGTGTGTGTGTGTGTGTGTGTGTGTGTGTGTGTCTGTCTGTCAGCGCTGATGAGGCTCAGCCAACCCCTCCTTCCCTTGCCTGGCTCCCTCAGCTCGAGAGTTCCCGTTGTGTGGGGCCCCACAGGGGTGTGGGGGGCTGGGGTGGCAGCTGGCCCAATGGGTGGGGCCCCTGTTCCTCTGACGTCAGCCTTCTCAGCCTGGGAGGGAATCAGCAGGGGCCTGGGGAGGGAAGGGGGCACCTCATTCAGGAGTAAGGAGAGAGGCCTTATGGTTGTCATAATTAGTACCAGTAAAAATCATGGTCATTAACAAGGTCCAGATTTCACTCCTGGGGGAGCTGCCCCCTCCCTAGCAAGTACCTGTCCCCAACTCCCCCTCCCTCAGCCTGGCCCAGCTGGGCGCAAAAGTCCTGGCCTTGTCCACAGTGGCCCTGGCCTTGTCCACAGTGGCCTTGGCAGGAACTCCTCCACCCCTAGGCATGGTGCCTGGCCAAATGCTGGCTGTATGCATATACCCTGGACTCTAGGTTGGAGCCTGGAGCCTGGTGCTTAGGACCTGGTACAGCCTGAGCTGGGGAGGGGGAGGGGGAAGATTAGGGGTTGGACATGGAGGCAGTGCTTAGTTTGGGTCTTCAGAGCCCTGTTTTTTCCTTTTTTCTCTTTCCTTTTCCCTTCCTTTCTTCTTTTTTTATATTTATTTTTTATTTTTAAGTAAACTCTACCCCCAACATGGGGCTGAAACTCACGACCCTGACATCAAGAGTTACATGCTCTACTGATGGAGCCAGCCAGGCATCCATCCCTCCTTTCTTCTTCTTCTTTTTTTAATTTATTTATTCATGAGAGAGAGAGAGAGAGGCAGAGGCAGAGGGAGAAGCAGGCTCCCCGCCTAGCAGGGAGCCCGATGCGGGACTCGATCCCAGGATCCTGGGATCGTGACCTGAGCCGAAGGCAGACGCTTAACCATCTGAGCCACCCAGGCGCCCCTCTCCTTTCTTCTTTTTAACAGCTTTATTGAGATGTAATTCAAATACCATAAAATTCACTCATTAAAGTGTACAATTCAGTGGTTTTCGTATACTCACAGCCTGTGTGGTTGTCCCCACAATCCATTTTAGAAAATTGTCAGCACTCCAAAAAGAGCCCCCATAGCTATCAGCAGTCACCTCCCATTTCCCTCAGACCCACCTCCTAGCCCCTGGTAACCGCAGCCTACTCTCTGTCTTTATAGATTTGCCTACTCTGGACATTTCATATAAATGGAATCATCAGTATGTGGCCTTCTAGAACTAGCATAAGGTTTTTAGGGTGTACCCATGCTGTAGTCATATATATCAGTACTTCATTCCTTTCTGTGACAGAATAAGCTTCCATACGGCTGCACAACATTCTCTTTATCCATTAGTTGATCGACATTTGGGTTGGTTCTACTTGTTGGCCATTATGAGTAAAAACTGGTGTGAACATTCGTGTACAAGCTTTTGTGTGAACTTGTTTTCATATCTCGTGGGTAGATACTAGGAAGGGAACAGGCTGGATCATAGGGTAACTGTTTAACTTTTTGAGGAATTGCCACACTGTTGCCCAAAACAGTTGGCCTATTTTATATTCCCTCTAGCCATGGACGAGGGTTCCAATTTCTCCACATCCTCACCAACACTTGTTAGTAGTCTTTTGGATTACAGCCACCTTAGTGGATATGAATTGGTATCTCATTGTGGTTTTAAATGGCTGTGTTTCTTTTTGTCTGTCTCTTTGTTTTGGTCTTTCATATAGGTTTTTCACATATATATAATACCGTATATATGTCATGTATATGTGATTATGTATTCATATATAAATATATCCATGCACTTGTATTTGTGTATGGATATCCTATACCCCAAGTGGATTTGATTTGAAGCGTTCTCTTGTGGATGCTTCTCTTTCTCTCTCTCTCTCTTTGCTTCACTGCTGCCTGTCTCACTGTGTCCTGGGATCTCTGGGTTCATCTCTGTCTCTCTCTGCCCCATGGTGTTATCAGTACATGTCCTCTGGTCCCAGCTGTTCAAACAGAGTATGGATCTGTGTTCACACTATTGGAGGGGGGGCATCTGGTCCTTCATCTTGTGCCCATCTCCCACCCCATCCAGGGATGTGGCTTCTGCAGACAGAGGGTGTGGGTGAACTTCTTTTTTTCTTTTTAAAGATTTTTATTTATTTATTTGAGAGAGAGAGAGAGAGACAGAGAGAGCACAAGCAGGGGGAGGGGCAGAGGAAGAAGCAGGCTCCCCGATGAGCAGGGAGCCTGACGTGGGGCTCGATCCCAGGACCCTGAGATCATGACCTGAGCCCAAGGCAGACGCTTAACCGACTGAGCCCCCCAGGCGCCCCTGTGTGGGTGAACTTTGAGTTCATCAGTCCCCCCTACCCCTTTATTCCCTGGGGGTAAGGGGCTTCCACCCTGGGCAGTCCCTGCCCTCCTGACGCCCTGCCCACCGGTGGCCCATCATGCTAATAAGCATCGGAGGTGACACCCAGGAGTCCTGGGTTCCCATTTCCCCATTTGTGTGTATGGCAGTGGGCCTCCTCCCTGGGCCTGTGGGACAAACCCATCTGGGGTGCTTGGGCTTGGATTTTGGGGGGAAGTGGTGTAAGAAGGGCCCCCTGGCCTAGGAGTCATTTTTCTGAGAAGTGCCAATGCTTTAGGGAAGCGGCTTTTCCTCCCCCTCCCTTCTCCTCCCCTCAAGCACACGGTTCTTTGCATCTTGACCTCAGGTAACCCACACTGTGGGGAGGAGGGCCAGCGGCCTGCCTCTGCTACAAGGATCCTCTGGGGTGGCAGACCCTGACCTTTCCCCTCGGGACTATGGGTGAGAGGCCCTTTGTGGCTCTGGGCCCTCTCCTTGTCTCCCCAGCCGGGCTGTGCTAGCCTGCCACCCCCAGCAGTGTCTGGGCCCTGCTCCCAGGCTGTCTCTGCCAGCCAGGCACAGTGCCAGCTGTCTGCTCAGCCGGGTGCCACGGGAAAATCTCCGGCCGCCCAGGTTGGGGAGCTCCACGGGGAATGCCCGTGTACCCGCTCCTTGGTGACCACTCACCTGTCTTTTCTTTTTCTGCAGTGCCACAGGACATGGCCCCCCCAGCCGCCTAGCCAGGGCCCATCTAGGAGAGGCATCCTCTTCGGTGTCCTGAAGGCCAGCTCTGGACCTGCCCAGAAAAGTGACAGATTACAGAACTGCTTGACCAAAGGACCAGCTCTTGGGGCGTCCCCCAACCCACCCGGCCCCCAGCTAGAGTGGGGGATCCAGGAGTGTGAGATTAGCCTGTGGCCTTGGACAGCAGCTCCGGGACAGAAGGGGGGGTGGGCTGACCACCCAAACCCCCTCTGGGCCCAGGCCCCATGCCCCGAGGAGGGGCAGCCTGAAGCCCACCAGAGCCTCCTGCCAGACTGCCTGCTTACCCTTCTGACTGTGGCTGCTTGGCATGGCCAGCAACAGCAGCTCCTGCCCAACACCTGGGGGAGGGCACCTCAATGGGTACCCGGTGCCCCCCTATGCCTTCTTCTTCCCGCCTATGCTGGGTGGACTCTCACCGCCAGGCGCTCTGACCACTCTTCAGCACCAGCTTCCAGTTAGCGGCTATAGCACGCCATCCCCAGCCAGTAAGTGGGGTGGCGGGAGGCTCAGTGGGAGGGGACTGTGGAGGGCAGCAGGCCTCGGGGCTTGGCCTCTGGGCACATCTGTTCCTCTGCAGGCCACATCTTCTCCAGATGAGGAGGACCGTCGTGTGTGTGTGTGTGTGTGTGTGTGTGTGTGTGTGTGTGTGTTGGGGGGGGTGTCAAGGATGTCAAGGGCTTGTAGTCTGATCACAGTGGTCACGTTTGACGTCGGGGGCGGCAGAGGGAGAGCTGTTCCTCAGGGCTCCTGGTGTCCTGCGCTGTGCTGTGGAGGGCCTTATAAATAGCTCCAAGGGCTGGACACGGAGGCCGGAGGCCAGTAAACAAACCTCTCAACATTTGGTGGAAATGGCAACTCTAGTGAGGGTGGCACCCGACCTCTGCCCCACCCCAACCAGTGCCTCTGAGGGAAAGGGCTTGAAGGAGCAGCCTGCCAGGCTGGCTGGAGACCCCCGCTCCCCTCCCCCTGCCAACTCCTCCCACAGTTGCCTGGTGGCTGGGGCCGGTGGCCCAGGAGGGGGCGCTGGGCCTGGACTCCGGCTGTGTGCGCCTGCATGCTCTTGGCAGGGCCCGTGTTTTCTCTGGGACTCCACCCTCTGCCACGGGGGTCGCCTGTTGGCTGGATGGGGGTCTCAGTACCCTTCCCTGGCTGGCCGAGCCAGGTAGTGGGAGGCGGCAGCAGCTATGGCCAGCTGGCAGAGTCCAGGCCTCGGGCCTGCCAGGCCGCTTACAGTAACTCTGGCCCCCAGGGCCCAGCTGGGCACCAGGCCAGGGCTTGGGGGGGGGGGGGTGCGCAGGGGAGGAGGGAGCGGGGGCCTGGCCTGGGGCGGGAGGGGTTGGAAGCAGCAGAATGGGCCATGGACGGCCGGCTGGCCGGTCAGCTGCTGACCTGGGAAACGTGGCCCACCTCTCCTGGCAGGCAGGGATGAACGCCCTGCCCCGGGCACCCACTGCCCCTCCCACGGCCGCTGGCTGGCTGCCTGGCACCACTGCCCTCAGCGCCCGGCCGGGCTGGGTCAGTGTCCCCTTCCCGGTGTGGGGGCAGCACTCTCTCCCCGGAGCCAGGGAGTCTCTTTGTCCCTGGGGCAGGCCCTGGCTGGGCGCCTCGCTGCCCGCACTGGCCGCCCGCCCACCACCACCACCGCTTCCTGGACCTCCTCCTCTGGCTCCGCCACGGCCCCTCCCTCCCCGGCCCCACCGGCTGCTGGGGGGCTCGGCGTCTGTGCTCCTGTAGGCTCCCCCTCTCTATGGCCTGGGACCGGGGGCAGGCAGGTACCGCATTTCCACTGCCATGCCATCCACACTCCATCTTCTGTTTCCTCACCCAGCAGTGGCGGATAGTGCAGTGACCAGGGAGTCAGGGCCCTCCGATTCTGGCCTAGTCTTCCAGTCTGTGCTAGGTGACCAGGGAGGCCAGGCGCTGGGTTCAGAGTTGCTGGGGAATGGGTGGGCATGTCTGTGGTTCCTTGTGTCTACAGGGACTGGAATTCGTATTCTTGGTGGGGGCCGGGGGGGGGGCGGTCACTGGAGCATCTACTTCCTGCCAGGGTGGGATTTTTAGGGAGGGAGAAGTCGGGGGCTTATAACCTGGTACCTGTGGATAAGTTGTCCTTCCCCAGGTGATGGGAACAGAGCCCCCGGCACTGCTCAGAGTTGGAGGGGCCCAGGGCCTGGCCTGGGTTCTTGCCCACCCCGTGTCAGACGAGCAAATGCCATGCCCTCCTCTAAATGTTGCAAGCTTCTTCCTCTTTCTTAGAGGTGGGGAGGGTTTCCGGGTCCCCCACTTCCCACCCTGGTAACCTTTTCTCCCCAGGGTGGGGTGCCCACATTTCGGGCAAGTGGAGTCTTCTCTGGCTTTCCCCACCCAGGTTAGGCAATGCCCCTTTCCTGCCCTCTCCCTCTGTGAGCATGTGGGTTTCCCTACCCCTCCCCTCCTCCTAGTAAACAACTTCTCTTCCTACCCAGACCCCCCGCTTCTGAGCTTCTCCCTGACCTTCTTCTCCGTGACCAGAGGTGTAGCCATGGGCCTCAGGGAGCCAGGCATCGCCTTCCTCGTGCAGGGCTGGGTGGCCTGGTGACCCAAGCTCCTCAGTCCTGGGTAACAAAGCATGACAGATCAAAATTCACATGTGTTCGAGATGGAGGCAGCCTCATTACCCTGCTCTCCCTGCCTTGTGGCTGGTGCCAGGGGTCAGGCAGTTCCTAGGAGAGGGAGACCTTGGTGGCTCCCATTCCTGCAAGGAGCAATGGTTACCCTCTTTGTAGGAAACCTCCCAGATGAGGCTCTTTCCTCCCACTTCCCACCAACAGAGGTGTTTGGATAATCCCCCGTCCCTTTCCCCTCCCTCTTCCCACGTGAGGAGGAGGCTGGACCTTGCGTGTCCCTTTCAGAGACGTGGGTGGCCTGTGGAATGACAGGTCCAGGTCACCGTGGGGAGGGGTGGGTATTTGTCCTACTCCAGTCAGGGAGCCAGAGTGGGAAGTCCGAGGGATGGTACAGGATTCCCTCCCCACCTCCCCACAGCCCCTGGGGCTTGATCTCTGAGGACTGGTATTTACTATGGAGGGTTGGGATTCTGTGTACATTGTGAGGAGGGTCAGGGTTGTGTGTGTTTTAGGGTTGTGGGGGGGTCAAGGCTGAGTGTGTGTTGGGAATGGGGTTAATGGTTTGTATGTATGGGGTGAGAAGGTCAGAGGGTTGAGTGTGTTTTGGGAGAATCAAATCCAAAGCCAGGAGGGGGTGTCCGTTTGTCTGTTGCTGGAGGGGGCGGTGACTTAGGGCATAGAGTCTTTAAAGGGGAGAGGACTGTGGATTGTGCTATGTGTTTGGGGAGGTCAGGGTCTCTCTCTCTCTTATCGCTAGTCTAGGCTAGAGGGGAAACTGCCCTGCCTTTTTGGTTGCTTACTCCCGGAATTCCAAGCAGGCTGTGTAGGAGGCCGGGGTAGCTGGAGTTCGGGCTTTGCCACTTACTTCATAGGATGACCTCTCTGAGCGCGTTTCCTGGTCTCTAAAACAGGGATATTACCAGAACCTCCCTCAAAGGCTGAGATTAGGCAAGATCACCGACGTATCACCGACCTAATGCCCTCAGCTCTGCCCCTTGCTTGTTGCATCCTTCCTGTCTTGTGTGGTACCCTTTCCCACAGTGAAAAGGGACCAGGGCCCCTTCTAGGTAGGAGTGGGAGAGAACGGGATGCTAACATCTGTGGAGCACCTACTGTGTGCCCCGACTTTATCTCTGTTTTACAGACCTTAATCCCTAAGATGCTGGGAGAGGGTCAGTATCCCTGTTGCACATGAGACAACAGGGTGGGCGGAGGTAAAGCTCACTGGGTTAAGTGAGCGGTAAAGCGGACCTGTTTTCCACCATCCAGATAGGCCGCTGCAGGAGGGTATTGTGGGGGGGCACTCCTGGGTGGGGGGAGCTTTGGGGGGCGCAGTGCCAATGTTGAAACCCCCTCCCCCATAGCTGAGGCCCACTCCTGCCCGAGGACCTCCTGCCTTCTCCCAGTAGGGGGCGCGGGGGAAGGCAGCCAAGCCACGCCCCCTCCTCTGTGTTTTGGATCCTGGAGGCTGGAGGGAAAGAGCGCTGAGAGGCCTGGGCCAGATCTCCATCCTGCCCTGGAAATTGCGGATACAATCTGTTCACACCCATCCCCACCCACGAATCAGCCCGCTGCAGCCCACAGGAGTTTGTAGAGCTCAGGAGCCCTCCCCCCCACCCAGACACTATAGGAACAGAGTGTAAAAGCCACAGTTCTTATTATTTTGTTTCAATATGTAGGGTGGGGGCAGGGAAGTTGGAAGCAATCAGTAGATGGGACCGAGATGGGAGCCCCCTTCTGTCCACATATCAGTAGTGTGTGTGCCTGGAGCTTGGGGAGACCCTCCCTTCCTCTCCTCTGCCACTCTCTTCCCTTCATCTCTGTCCTCCATCCCTCCCTTCTCTTCACTCTTTCCCTGGACAATAAGAGGGACAACTCCGGGAGAGAGGGTACTGCCAGCAGTGCCTTTCCTGGGGTCTAAAGATGCAGAGTCATCCAAGCTACTGCTGGATGGAATCTTGAGTGAAGATGGGGCCCCTCACCTTTTATCTGGTAGCACTGATGATGCCGGCTTCCCTCGGGCAGGACTCAGGGAAGGAAGCCTGTCCTCTTGGCTGAGACTTGGGTCCACCCCATGCCACAGCCCGTGTGCCCATGGGGATGTGTCAGTGCAGGCCAGGACTACGCTTTAGGGGGTAGCATCTGTGGAAAGAGGAAGTGTTTCCCTTCTCCAGATCACTCTCGGGCGGTGCCCACACTACCTCTTTCCTCCTCCTCCTCCATGGAGTCAGGCACAGCCAGTGGAGCTGGGTCTCCCAGGGTAGACTGGCTAGATCAGCCTTGGCTAGGTCAGCAATAGAGGCCCTCCCCTCCCCAGTTTGATTCCTGGGTTGCCGGGAACCTCTCTCCGCCCACAGACCAAGGCACCACGGGCAGAAGTCCTAAAAAAGGACAGCTGTTCCTGTGCAGCCTTGGGCAGGTCACCCGTCCTCCCTCTGAGTCTGTATCCTCCCCTTTAAAGCAAGACTGTTATTGTGTTCCCGGCTGGATGAGTTGCTCTGAGGCCACGGTGACCTGCTGGCTGATGATCAGAGCCTGAATGAGCTTCGAGTGCCCTGCAAGAGCAGTGATGACGAGG